ATAGATCACTTTTTCGTTCACAAGCGCATCACCATTTCTTTCATATCGTTTTTACGTTTGCTTGAAATTTTGAGACAAAGCATAAAAGCCAATTTGACGTTTGGCGTTTGCAGTGAACGTGAATCTAAAACTCTCTATATTTTTTAGCTCCGTTTTCATGGTCAGTATTGGCGTATGTTTATACAAAACCATAAAAGTGTCTTGAAGTTTGCTTCTGATCAGCAATGTGATCCATATTATGGACACTACAAATAGATCYGCTTTTGGATGCACTTCGAAGAGTGAATGGACTTGCATGTTGTACATTGTAAAAACCACCWCTATATGTCCTCATAATTAAGTGAGTGGTCTCCTGTAAAAACTGCGCACAGTTCTCAATTACATGTAACATGTAAACAGTTYGAAAATAAACGTCTATGTGAAAACATAGTCTTATAAATGCAATTTTTTTAAATTTCAACTTTTATCCCTCCTTTGACACACAGAAAACACAATGTTTGAGGAAAACTAGTTTCGTCTTTTCGACCCACAGGCAACCCAAGCTCATTACATAATATTTATATGTGATCACACGGTCAAAATTTGATTTCTTTAAGTTTGTGTTTTTAAGAATAAAAATGATTCACCTTGATAACTTGTTGTGTCTTTTATCATTTGGCGGAGTTTGAAGCCGTTAGGAAGCGATTTTACCTGGTTTTCGAATTTTCTTTCCCCCACCTATAAAAAATGTCATTTTTTACACAAACTTAAAGAAATCAAATTTTGACCATGTGATCACATATAAATTCCTCTACAACTGTTGTATACGATAAGCGCGCTTACATCACAGGGAGCCCAAGCAGTGACTTTGAACCTATAAAGGTTAAAAATAAAATTTTACTTATATATATGTATACATGGAGGGGAAATTTTTTTAAACCCATCTATAATGCATTGTGACACTGAATAAAATAAAAGTAGACCATTTTTTTAAGTAAAATTTTATTTTTAACCATTATAGGTTCAAAGTCACTGCTTGGGCTCCCTGTGCTTACATTTGAAATTTTACAAACAGCGCGCGTAAATTACGTAGCGCGAGCTAAAGGTGTTTTCCGTGTGTCAAAGGAGGGATAAAAGTTGAAATTATTTTGACGTCCTACAATATGAAGTTTAGAAAGCAATTTTTTTTCGTTTATTGTTTTCGTTTTTCTTGCAGCATGCCACAGCTTTGAAGCATGAAATTAGATTACTTGGTACTCTMAATCACCATCATTTTATTGTAAACTACATAGCAGTAGAGGAATACAACAACCAACTAGCAATGGTCATGCATTACTTCCCAAAGGTGCTCAAGATCTGTAAACTTTGCTGTGAAATAGCCGAGTTTAGATATTTTGGTTCAGTGACCATGCACAAAAGAATTGCAGACGAGGCTTCGGGGAAATAAAGAATAAAACGATATTATACGCTCTTTGATTGGTCATTTTGAAGCGTGCACTTCAAAATAACTCTTTGTAATATTAAAAAAATAAAATTATCAATGGATAATCTTGATTTATTCTTTATTTCCCCGGAGCCTCGTCTGCAATTCTTTTGTGCATGGTCACTGAACCAAAATATCTAAACTCGGCTATTCATACATGTATAGTACATCTCCTTCGGACCCACGTTGCTGACTGCACACCCATTTTATTTGATTTTATGTAATATATAAAATATGAGCGGGAGACCTTTTATGGGCATTTTTAGCCCATAAACGTCGGACGCGAATATTTTATATTGCTTATCAAATTCCAACATAAGGTAAAGCATATTTCGAGGAAAACTTCATTATAAAATATCATTTGTAAGAGAAAATCGAAGTTAAAGTCGTATGCAAATCAGGACAAATCTCTTGCTCATATAAAGATGCGGTCACGGCAATGATTTTATGAATTATTAATGAATTTGATAATAATGATTATAATTTCTATATTAAATGAAATTAACAGGGGTCACTATATCAAGTGCTACAGGCCAGTGAAGAAGGTCATTTCAGTGAAGACATGACAAGAGTGTACACATGGCAAATTTTACAAGGACTGAAATTTCTACATGAAAATGGTGTTATACACAGAGATATCAAAGGTAGTTAAGGTTTATTTAGTTTCTCCAACAACGTGTTGATTTTGTTTGAACTCCATTTCCAARAAATTGACCGCGTGGGTTCATAATACTATTGGACCACAAGGGGAAAAAAATTCCTAATTATTYTGTGTATTCATTATTGATATTAACCCTACAGCATAAAAATTGCTGGACATTAAAACTACTGGGAATTCAAAACTATTTTTCCTGGTAATTTAAAACTGCTGGTACATGACCTGGCATATTTTAATTTCCATACCAAACTATAAAACTGCTGACGAGACACTTAAAATTGAGATCTCCTATTAACTTTGTTATTAACCAACTGTCAGGGAGACGTAGTCTTACAATACTCTTTGAAATCCTTGAAAAAACCCTAGGAATTCAAAAATCTGAAACATCTTATTTACAAAACGTTCAAATTTCTTGCAATACTCCTCAACTTTGATGCAATCTATATAGCTGTTGTTTAAACGTTTTAATTTATTAAATATTATGATTGATAAAGTATTGATTGGTTAACTCTAAACCAACAATTATTATTTTTTTCTTTCCAGCTAGAAATATTTTAGTTGATGAACACAAAACAATCAGAATTGCGGACTTTGGAATTTCAAAGAAACTTGAAGTAAGGCTTGTTATTCCGTTTATTCTAAGTTTTGCTTCTTTTACGTAAAGTTTTTTATTTTGCTGCACACGCATTGAATTACTTTCTAAGAATTTTTGCCAGGAACTGAAAATAAAACTAACAAAAAGTAGAAGCCGGTTTTGACCATAAAAACGTTATATAAGCCTTTTTTGGGATAAAAACGTTTGCCAGGAACAAAATTATTTAAGAAGGAAGGMGCCACATTTGCTTGTGAGTTTGTCAAGAATGTCGCTCAAAATCCCTTTCTCAGGAAAAAATTCCTACAAGAGAACAGTTATTTAGAAMAACAGACCCCGGCGTCTCCTCCTGATGTAAGGGGCGAGGTTCTCATAYGCTATGTACCAGTATCGTCCTCGAGTTCAAGCAGCTCGAAAGCATTGTTGCRCGACTAAATTTTTATTTGTACGGCTTGGGGAGCAGGTTTTTAGCCTTGTGTCCAGAATAACTTCATGGTTTGGCTATTCTAGGATGCCGCATTAGGTGGACTAGATTGTTGTTCGATACATGTATCCTTCAATTTTTGTTCCAGTTTAGGCAACTYGGAAAAATGTATCGCAATTGTAGATGTTGATTGATTTTATTTCTGCTTTAAAATTTGTTTCCAGAATTTAGTAACTCAGACTTCAGGGAACACAGGCACTATAGGTTCAATATACTGGCAGAGTCCCGAGTCTTTATCTACTGAAACCAAATGCGGCAGAAAGACTGATGTATGGTACGCAGATATGATTATTGAATAATTCATTAATTTATCAATCGACATATAATTATCTATGAAATACCTAATATATTTCTCCGTAGTAAAAATAACACATTCGAAGTTTCTCTGGAAGTAAAAATGGGTATTTTACGATATATTTGCTTTCATATATGATTATATGATAAACAGAATATTACGTGGTCGCTTTCGCTACGCTGTTCACATGAGAGAACTTTTCAACACTCGGAGATAAAATCCATATCTCAACACACGCATGTAATATCCTATACAAAATGGTGGGAACTAGCGGTAAACTAGTGTGAGCTGCGTCGGTGTTTCTAAAGAAACAGTTGTGTAAAGAAGATAAGTTAAACACCGTAAAAAAGTATGGGAAATAACTAATAATATCCTATACAATATGCTTTCTTGTCACTCTTGCTCATGGGAAAAAATGCAAAAAAAGGAGAAAAATAGCAACAATAAGAACAACAGCAACAACAATACCCCACCCTCCCCTCCCCTCCCCTAAAAAATATTAAGACCTGATGATGCGATACCTGATGAGCTTGCGAATTTAAGAAGGCTTTTTTTCTTTATTTTTTCAGTTTCTTTTGTTTCAGAARAGAACATACATTTTTGCATCCTTGCTACATGTAGTTTGCAGTTGTTTACCTTAAGTGAATGTCTAAATTTGATATCGCCTAGTTTTTTTTTTAATAATTGACTTTTTTTAATTCAGGAGTTTAGGGTGCACAGTTGTCGAGATGCTGCTGGGAAAACCACCTCTTAGYTGTGACAACATTCAACTGGTTCAAGCTAGTGTTAAAATTCTTAACTATGAAGTCTACCCTCCMCCTGATTGCTCGGATATTGCCAAAGAATTTCTTCAAATGTGCTTCAGGTGAGTTTGCRATAATGTTTTATTCAAGGTTGTTTRATTTTACTCACTACGCATCTTAATAATGCACGTCTAATGCACGTTAAAAATGCACTTGATGTATCTCGAGGAATGTGCTAAGGCATCTTATTGGRAATGCACRCAATGCATCATATTAGAAATGCTTTCAATGCATCCTAGGGATTGTGCTAATGCATTCTAAAGAATGCTCTCAATGAACTTTGAAAATAAGCAATTAATGCGTCTTCAATAATGCACTCAATGCATCTTAAAAAAGCTGCATTTTAAAAGTCAAAACTATTGAAGTAAAAGTAAGTCTTTTATCAGATCATAGTTCCCGTCATATTAATGAATATGTGATTTGTGATACAAATCACATGTACACAGTTTTGTTGCATACATTTTGTGCAAATAGCAATATGACAGTTTGCTTGCAAGATCAACCTTGACAGTGTGCTGGTATTTATGAGGTCAGGGCCGTTCTGTCTCAGGCCAGGCCATAACTCAGGATCATAAAATAATTGAGCTATCGCAGTCTTTTTTTTCTTTACCTGAAAATGGTCCCATTGTCACGTTTTTGGATAAAAACGTCGAACCCCTCTCTGCACAGTTTATAATAGATTGCACTGAATAGCCAGGACTTGCACTATTAAATAACGTTAATACTGCCTTTTGGTCTTCACCTGCATTTAGTTAGATTATCACATTTTTAGACAAAGACATCGAACCCCTCTCTGCACACTTCATAACAGATTGTACTGAAATGACGTCACATACACCAGTTGTGGAAAGGGCTTCCAMTATGAAATATCAATGAATTTTTTCTTTACCTGTACATGGCTAATCTCATTTTTGGATAAGGACGTAGACTCTTTCCTGCACGTTTCATACAAATTGCACTAAATAAATGTGAAAGAATACACAACCGGTGTGACCTTGACTTGCACTATAAATTTCGCTGAATTTGGAAACTTGGCTATGTCCTATAGGCATCTTACTGCCATTGTGCAAAAACAATACCAAGTAAATTGATAATGCTGCAGCTTTGAAATGGCACCTTTTCAATCAAGATATTGACTTTAGTCAGCGCAATCTCCTCGGTGTTTTTTTTTATCTTTCTATCTTTTGTATCTTATTGTTTCCAAGAATTTCAATCCGTATCTTTTTTATTTAAAAAAATCGATGGGTACGGTTGGGAAGAGCTAACAAACAGAACGCAATAATTGAAGATGCAAACATTTTTAAATATGTGTTGGCATGTACATTGTCGGAGACCATCAATGTCAATYCAAATATACAATTTGATAAAGGCGTGATATGGTCAGTTGTGGAGACCTTCCCAGACAATCAGTTATTTCTTAAAAGTATATCTACAGATTTCTCTATGATTACTGTGGAATCTTACTCTAAGCAAGAATACAGTTGATTAATTCATTTCTAGCTGAGTAATATTTTGGGCGGCACGGTTCTTAGACTAAAAAGATATTCAGTTATATATTTTGCCTTTCAAGATGTCTCTTATTCTATGGCGACTTTTCTCTCTTTTTGAAGTACTTTTCCTTATCAATACTAGTTTTCAGTTAGTGCCGCCACTTGTTGCAGTTCATTTATAATGATGACAGTACAGAATTAATACTGAGAGGTTTCTGATAGTATAATTTGTGGATTTACAAGGCTCTCTTAATTTTTTATATTCGATTTTTTTCAATAAGGTATAAATTAAAAAAATGGTACATCAAAGAATAATGTGTAAGTCATAACTATTAACCACCAGCTATAATGCACCGTAAAATGCTGCCTAACGAAATAACATTCTACTAGTAGCTACATACCACCGACGTTTGCTTCTATCCTTTCTTCCATCCTTCCTCTCGTAGTTCTTTCATTCTTTACTGTACCTTCTTCTGACATCCTTCCTCAACATCCYCTTCCTCCTTTCAGCATCCATTCCTTCCTCCTATCGTCCCTCGACTCTTCTAAGCATCCCCTGCCTTCTTCCAGAACCCTTTTGCTTCTCAAAACATCCCCTTCCACCTTCCAACATCTATTCTTCCTCACAGCTTCCCTTGGCTCCTCTAAACATCTCTTGCCTTCATCCAGAACCCTTTCGCTCCTCACAACATCCTCCTTCAACATCCATTCCTTCCTCCCATCGTCCCCTTCTCTAGACATCGCTTGCCTCCTTCTAGAACCCTTTTCCTTCTCTCAACATCTACCTCCACCTTCCAAATCCATTCCATCCTCCCATCGTCCCTTTCTCTAGACATATCTTGCCTCCTTCTAGAACCCTTATCCTTCTCTCAACATCCCCCTCCTCCTTTCAACATCCATTCCTTCCTCCCATCGTCCCCTTCTCTAAACATCGCTTGCCTCCTTCTAGAACCCTTTTTTCTTCTCTCAACATCCCCTCCTCCTTCCAACATCCATTCCATCCTCCAAACATCGGTCCTTTCCTCAGTCGACTCATTTTGCCTCCTAGAACCACCATTTTCCTCCTCTGAATATCCCCTATCCCTTCCAAAACCCCTGGTCTCTTTCCAAAAACCATCTTCTGCCCGCCCTTCTTCCTTTGTCTTCTTTTACCTTTCGTATCATCCTAGTTCGTCTCTTTTTTCCTTCATTAAATCCTCCGTTTTGTTCTATTGCGWGTTCTTATATTTTCAGAATTCTAATTCTCTCTCTTTCTCAATCTGTAGACCTGAGACTGAAAGACCGACTTCGCGTGAAATAATGGCTAATACAGAATTTCCGAAGTATTCTCTAGAATCGTATTAAATAGACACCTGGGCACTGCCGTGATTTTTTTATTTACAAATGTCTTCAGCTTTTCATTTTATTTAGTGCTAACTTATTCGAAAATTTGCTAGCGTGTATTGTAAGACTGTAGAGTGAACGCACTTAATCCGTGCAACTGTACAAAATCTAAGTAGTACTAATTTGCACTAAAAGTGGACCTGTAGCAAGACGGTATTGAATGCTTCATTGGTATCAATTCAATTTAATTTGCGTATCGCATGCACGATTTACTACATGCAACTAAATATCACTATTTAGTTTGTACAGTTGAACGGATTAAGCGCGATCGCTCTACGAGATGAATGTAAATATGAAAGGTTTAATATACAAAAGAACTTGTCTTATGCGAATCATAAATGTTGCACTTCAGTTCGCAACATCAAACCCTGTGGTGTATAAGGCCTTTGTCAAGCTTTTTTTTTTGTCTTTTTTGTTAATCATAAATACATMATTTCATTATTAGCAAATGCGAAATAAACATTTAAGACTCCATTCAAAATGTGAGCCTACTAGATGTGAATGTTAGCTATAAGTTACATGCAATCTACTGTTTGCTTGCCTATTTTCATTGCTTTATTTAATTCAAACCATTATTATATTATATCGATAAAAGAAACAGAATTGAATTTGAATGCAATTGAGAAATGCAAGAATCTTAATATAAATTCCATTGAATTGAGGATTTATTAATAATATACGTTGTTTATGGTCCTTAAGAAAATCTCTAGTTAMAAAATCGTGAAAATGAATTAAATTATTGATTTTTAGTACTACTTAATCTTTATTTAYAGCTAATAATAGTTAAAGAGTATTGATTGCCTGTTGTAGATGTTAATTTAATTTAAGAACAATTAGAACAATTAGAACAGATTACGAAATCGATTTAAAACTCACTGCCCCATTTCATGGCGACGCAACCAGGATCAAACCATCAGGCCCTCAACAAACATTTTTGGGACATGAAAGTTGGATATTCCCTTCTACTCTGGCTGTGAAGTCTGCCCACTTGATAACATTCCCTTCTCCAGTGCAGCGTGATTGAGATAAGTTAGCTACTTCTTGTTCAGTGAGCACCCTGTTCCATAAGTTTACGTTGGTCATGTTGCCTTGGTAGCTTTGATATAATGCAAAGCCTCCCTTGTATGAATCCTGTTCCTGACCAAGTACAACRGCTCCCTTGGCAATAACTCTGCCTGCGTTTTCTTTGCCTTCAGCTTTCTTGCTACCATCAATGTATATTTTCCACTCTCCAAGGGCGTTACCCCATGTCAAACAAAAATGGTGCCAGTTGCCATCAACTGGATACTCKGCCTGGCTGTTGAACAATGCAAGCATATATGAGCAACAATTATATTAGAATTATACTTATCTCTATTTTGTCTTATTTCTATTTTGTCATGCTATGTAAATCCAGATTTTCACAATTTTCATGCTATAATTTGTAATAATGAACATGAGGTTTTCAAAGTTTAAGGGCGTTTCCGTATCCCTCMTCGTTTGTGAATTGAAACTGGGTGACTTTAGAGTTTGCTGATTTWTTGGCCGACGTACCTACWGAAATTTTAAAAGTATCCCCAACTGAAATAGTCCAGTTTTAGCTTACCCGGTGWACTCGTCCGTTACTAWGAAAGAGATACGTAGAAATRTGTMGTTCGAATATCGTTGAATTTCTGCCAATATTTCGTTTGAATGATTTGTGGTGGCATAGCTGAAGAYWGTCTGAAAATCTTTCAAGACTACTTGGTTCCACGAGCATACTGTAAAGGCTTGCAAGGATTCGAACCAGTTCTCTAAAACAACTTTGTTTTGTAAGTTTTCYTGGTGGAATGTCATAACTTCCTGCCCTCCGTCATCTGTTGAATGGAAGTAAAAGAAAGATGAATAAAAAGAGGTTAGAGATTGTTCAGAGATTGTGTAAGTGGAAAGGAAAAGGAAAAGGTGTTKGGTGCTAATCGTCCTTCATGGCAGCATGGGTGCTAAATTGCGAAAGACGCAGCTCGACGCGCACCTAAGTCGTAGTTCTATATTACAGACACATTTTACCGACACTTACACATAGGCGTGCTACCGGCTAGTCGCTTCCTTTACATAGAAACGAACGACTGAACGCGAAGCACAGCATATAGAAATGGTTCGTTTTTACTGAGGGAGGAAAACCCGGAAAGACCCGGAAAAACCCTCGACGCAAGGGAGAGAACGAAAGAAACTCAAATCACATATGGCGCCCCGATCGAGATTCGAACAGTCCACAGAGGTGACAGGCCAGCGCTCTCACCGCTCGGCCACCCAGGCGTCCCGCATGGGACGCATAGACCATATCGCAACCCGCGGAAAGCCTTGTGACGCAGTGCATTTTGGGATTGATAAATGAGTAAACAAGTGAAAAACGTTGTCAGTGCTCCAGTTGTCTGTAACATAGACTCAGTTCTCGAAAAACATTGGAAAATATTGATATTGTGGTTAATMTCAGAAGCGAAAAAACAAACAAATATCAGCATGCAAGGAAATACAGCAAGAAAAACCTCCAAAAAAATGTACAATTAATCAAGAATTTCCATTTACTAGGGAAATCAAGCAAAAATGAAAAGAATCATATTTTGTCTGTGGAAAAATCGAAACTAATTAGTGTTTTTACGATTTTAGCGATTTGTTTTGATGAACAAAGGGAGATATATATCCCATGATACATCATTGCAAAACCATTCAAAATGGCGGGCTTGTGATATGGACTATGGAATCAAATTTCCAACACTGTTCTCAACGAGCTCGATGTSTTGTATTCGGACTTCCTGTATCGATCGATTGCACTGGTGGGCTCCCTGTGGCGCCTGGTTATAATCCAAAGTCTCACCAATCTCGTACCCCGAGCCTTCGTTTTTCTCGGCCAGTGCACAACCTTACAAGTTTTTAGCTGTCCAACCTTAAAACTTATTTGTAAACACTGGACCTTTAAAAATATCATTTACCTTTACACGATAGACATTTGTAGTCATGTCCATTTCTGTCAATCAAACACTTGTCAGTTTTTCGATTGCAGTAGCCGATGCTGCAATTTGAGGGGGAACGAGCATTGTTATTTTCGTAGTCATATCCCTTCGAGAAGATGAAATCTTGTGGGTCCGTCAAATGGTTTGCATCATTAAGCTCACACATTCTTTTCTCATTGTGGTAATTGATGCTGTAACACTGGTTGTGCAATTTACACTCTTGCATGCAGGCATTCCTGGATGCTGTTGATAGCTTCTTGATTACATGGGCTTGTAATTGGAAACCACTTTGGAMGTATGAGGATTGACAAGTGGCTGTTTCTCCATTAGACATTTGAGGCAATATGATGAATGCAAACATCTTAAGGGCCGCTAGTRCCATTCCAACGGYCTTATTTACTGCATAAAAGAAATTTACTATTAGACTGTTTTTAGTTAGAGCGTGAAACCTTAGCAATAGAATGGATTAGAAGAGACATTTCAGGCTYGTAGGCTGCCTTACGTAGGCTGCCTGATTTTTCATAATGCGGACCTAAATTAAATGTGTCATTTATTAGTTTAATGCACAGATAGTGTGTAAGAACTGAATGCTAGAATGAGCAGAATAAGTGTTTGAAACTCTGTATTTATTTATCCGAACACGCTCAAACTCATCAGTTTGACTAATATTAGTATGCTCTTTCTTGTCCTGGTGTCTGTTTTTTGATTGATTCAAACGGTATTGAGTTTGTAACTAGTCATCAGTCCCTTTTTGAATTTTGGAACGGGCAATTACTTAACACTATCTCGGCATAACATTTTCGGGCTAAGTTTTTCGTTGTTTTAGGAACTTTTGATGATGTTGGTTGTTTTTTAATCTAATTACTAAGTTACTAAGAAACCACCATTTCAAAAACTGTGATGACTGCAGATGGCTTTACATTTTAGTCTCATAATTGATATGACAGTGGGTTGTCTAACATTAATGCAAACCATTCCTTTATAAATATTTAATAAGTGAAAAAAAAGGCAAACTTTTTTCGCTATGAGTAAAGCAGCTAAGACTTTTTTTTAGTTCCATATGAAAACATCTTTCGTCAGAAATGTAATAAAAGGGAGAAGAAGATCTTTTCTTTTTTCTTTTTCGTTTGTATTAAAAAAACGAGGAAAGTCTTTTGAATGTTTGTGTTTCGTTATGATTATAGCGCAGTATTTCTAACACACCTTTGAAAGGTGCATCCGACACGGGTTTTTGCTACTCAAGCATTAATATAAATCATTCCTTTTTTAAATTGGAAAGTAAATAAAAAAATCAAACTTTTTTCGCTATGAGTAAAAGAGTTTTAACTCAAAAGACTCAAGTTTTAAGTTTTAAGTTTTAACTTAAAAGACTTTTTTTAGCCAAATGAAAAAATCTTTCCTCAGAAGTGTAAGAAAACGAAGAAGAAAATTCTTTTTTTTTCTTCTTACAGCTAGAGCTAATGCATCAAAAAGGTTCCTCAAAGCGGTATATAATTCCTGACCATTAGAAAAATGAGGCTCAAAAAAAAGTGTTCTTAGAATTGCGGACTTCGTCAAATGGTCATTATTTCAAAGAAATACTKGGTTAAATGTACCTTGGCCTGTTGAATTCTTGACTTCGCTCGCATCTAGGTTCATGGTCATTTCAAATTTGAGTTTGCTAAGTAGAAGATATCCGTCTATCTTTGTAAGTGAAAAGATTGTCTGAAGTATATTTCCACGTTAATTATTAATTACAGATCCACTTCATTTACAAAAGAATGAAACGAAACGAAACAAAAAACAAAACGAAACGGGGCCTATTACTTAATTAGTCATATTCTAAACGCTTAGAAATCGAAAAGAAGGAACTAACATTAGAAATTGTGAACATCAATATATTGTATTGAAGTTTGCCGTTTTGCAGAATTTGTCGAATTATACTTCGTTTCACCTTTCCACACCCATGATGGGCGCATATCAGTTGGATATTCCCTTCTACTTTAGCTGTGAAGTCTGACCACTTGATAACATTCCCTTCTCCAACGGAGCATGATTGGGATAAGTCAGTCACCTCTTGTGCTGTGAGGACCCTATTCCATAAGTTCATGCTGGCCGTCTTGCCCTGGTAGCTTTGAGATAATTCAAAGCCTCCCTTGTATGAGTCTTGGTCCTGACCAAGTACAACGGCCCCCTTGCCAATAACTCTGCCTGCGTTCTTTTTGCTTTCAGCTTTAGGTTCAATATACTGGCAGAGTCCTGAGTCTTTATCTACTGAAACCAAATGCGGCAGAAAGACTGATGTATGGTATGCAGATATAATTATTGAATAATTCATTAATTTATCATATAATCATCTAATAAATACCTAATATATTTCTCCGTTGTAAAAATAACACATTCGTTTTTCTGGAAGTAAAAACGGTATTTTACGACGTATTTGCTTTCATATATATTATGATATGATAAACAGAATATTACGTGGTCGCCTTCGCTACGYTGTTCATATGAGAGAATTTTTCAACACTCGGAGATAAAATCCGTATCTCAGCACACGCATGTAATATCATCTATTTATCTACTTATTACAATATACAATATGCTTTCTTGTCACTCTTGCTCATGGGAAAAAAATGCAAAAAAAGGAGAAAAATAGCAACAATAAGAACAACAGCAACAACAATACACCCATCCTCCCTAAAAAAATATTTAAAGCTGATGATGTGATACCTGATGAGCTTGGGAATTTAAGAAGGKTTTTTTTCTTTATTGTTTTAGTTTCTTTTGCTTCAGAAGAGAAARCTATACATTTTTGCATCCTTGCTAAATGTAGATTGCAGTTGTTTACCTTAAGTGAATGTCTACATTTGCTATCGCCTAGTTTTTTTTAATAATTGTCTTTTTTTTTATTCAGGAGGGTACACACAGTTGTCGAGATGCTGCTGGGAAAACCACCTTGTGACAACATTCAACTGGCTCAAGCTAGTGTTAAAWKTCWTAACTATGAAGTCTACCCTCCCCCTGATTGCTCGGATATTGCCAAAGAATTTCTTCAAATGTGCTTGAGGTGAGTTTGCAATAAGGTTTTATTCAAGGTTGTTTAATTTTCCTCACTACAATAATGCATCTTAATATAATGCACGTCTAATGCATGTTAAAAATACACTTGATGTATCTCAAGCTGACTTGATGTATCTCAAGCTGAATGTGCTAAGGCATCTTATTGGGAATGCACGCAATGCATCCTAGGGATTGTGCTAATGCATTTTAAAGAATGCACTCAATGAACTTTGAAAAAGCAATTAATGCGTCTTCAATAATTCACTCAATGCATCTTAAAAAGGCTGCATTTTAAAAGTGAAAACTATTGAAGTAAAAGTAAAAAGAAATGCGTGTCTTTTATCAGATCAGAGTTCCCGAATGAATATGCGATTTGTGATAAAATCACATGTACACTGKTTTGTTTCATACATTTTGTGCGGATAGCAATGACAGTTTGTTTTTTAGATCAACCTCGACAGTGTGCTGGTATTTATGAGGTCAGGGGTTTATTCTCAGGCCAGGCCAGAATTGAGGATCATAAAATAATTGAGCTATCGCAGTCTTTTTTTTTCCTTTACCTGCAAATTGTCCCATTGCCACGTTTTTGGATAAAAACGTCGAACCCCGATCTGCACAGTTAATAAAGCGATTGTACTGAATGGCCAGGACTTGCACTATAAAATAACGTTAATACTGCCTTTTGTTCTTCACCTGCACATGGTTAGATTATCACATTTTTAGACAAACACATCGAACCCCTCTCTGCACACTTCATAACAGATTGCACTGAAWTGACGTAAAAAATCCACCTACAACAGGTGTGGAAAGGGTTTGTACAATGAAATKTCAATGAWTTTKTTCTTTACCTGCACWTGGCTAGATTATCTCATTTTTGGATAAGGACGTAGACTCTTTCCACGTTTCATACAAATTGCACTAAATAAAAAAATGTGAAAGAATACACACCCGGTGTGACTTGGATTTTGGGAACCTGCAATTTGGACTATGTCCTATAGGCATCTTCGGACCTGACATTTTGCACTATCACCAACCAAATAAATTGATAAGTCAACATCCCCCTCCTCCTGTCAACATCCATTCCTTCCTCCTATCGTCCCTTTCTCTAGACATCGCTTGCCTCCTTCTAGAACCCTTTTCCTTCTCTCAACATCTGCCTCCACCTTCCAACATCCATGCCATTCTCCAAACATCGGTCCTCTCCTCAGTCGACTCATTTTGCCTCCTAGAGCCACCATTTTCCTCCTCTGAATATCCCCTATCCCTTCCAAAATCCCTGGTATCTTTCCAAATAATGGCTAAAGCCCCGTCTACACAAACAATTTTTATGTGGCAATTTTTATGTGACAATTTTCAATTGCCCGTGTAGATGAGCAAAATTGTTCAATTTTTATGTGACAACTGTAGTTGCTGGAAAGCTGGCATGCTAGTTTTTATGTGACAATTAAAAATTGTYACATATCAAAAGTTGCCCGTGTGGACGAGCGTCACATAAAATGTGGCAATTATTTTGACGTTACACTAAATCCCAGTCTCAACATTTTGCACACGAACCAAAATGGCGATTCCGATAGTAAGCAGAACTACCGGATCGACAGAGAAAATGGTATTATTGTTGTTGTAAGAGCTAAAACCAACCAAATTCAGTTTTGTTTATTGGCATCTCGGCCGCTGTGCAAAATCACACTTGGCGTGAATCTTCAACAATTATTTGCTTCCTGTCCACACGGACAAATAAAAATTGACACACATAGCTGTCACATAAAAATTATTCGTGTAGACGGGGCTTAATACAGAATTTCCTAAGCATTCTCTAGAATCGTATTAGATAGACACTTGGGCACTGCCATGATTTTTTGTTTACAAATGTCTTCAGCTTTTCATTTTATTTAGTGCTAAATTATTCGAAAATTTGCGCTATCTGCACTGAGGAGAATTTTCTAGCGTGTATAGCAAGCCTGCACACAGTCTTTTCGAAGAGATAAATGTGAACACGAAAGGTTTAATATGCAAAAGAACTTGCCTTATGCGAATCATAAACATTTCTCTTCACTTCGCAAGTTCACATCCTGTGGTGCATAAGGCCTTTGTCAAGCTTTTTTTGTCTTTTTTGTTAATCATAAATACATAATTTCATTATAAGCAAATGCGATATAAACATTTAAGACTCCATTCAAAATGTGAGTGTACTAGATGTGAATGTTCGCTATAAGTTACATGCAATCTACTGTTTACTTGCCTATTTTCATTGCTTTATTTAATTCAAACCAATATTATATTATGGTTTGAAGTTGGATCGATAAAAGAAAAAGAAAATTGAAATTGGCTGCACTTGAGAAATGCAGGAATCCTATAAATCACATTGAATCAAGGATTTATTAATAATATCCATCGCCCATGGTTCTTTAGAAAATCTCTAATTAAAAAAAAACCGTAAAAATGAATTAAATTATTGATTTTTAGTACTACTTAATCTTTATTTACAGCTAATAATAGTTAAAGAGTAATGAGCCTCTATTGTAAATGTTTGTTTACTCGTTGTTTTACCAAATTGATTCAAAACGCACTGTCCCAGATGGCGTTGCACCCAGAAACAAAACACCAGAACCTCAACAAACATTTTTGGCACATGAAAGTTGGATATCCCCTTCTACTTTGGTTGTGAAGTCTGACCACTTGATAACATTCCCTTCTCCAGTGCAGCGTGATTGAGATAAGCTAGCTACCTCTTCTTTGAGAACCCTGTTCCATAAGTTTACGTTGGTCATGTTGCCTTGGTAGCTTTGAGATAATGCAAAGCCTCCCTTGTATGAGTCTTGGTCCTGACCAAGTACGACGGCTCCCTTGCCAATAACTCTGCCTGCGTTCTTTTTGCCTYCAGCTTTCTTGACACCATCAATGTATATTTTCCACTCTCCAAGGGCGTTACCCCATGTCAAACAAAAATGATGCCAGTTGCCATCAACTGGRTAYTYTGCCTGGCTGTTGAACAATGCAAGCATATATGAGCAACGATTATATTAGAATGATACTTATCTCTATTTTGTCTTATTTSTATTTTGTCAAGCTATGTAAATSCAGATTTCCATAATTTTTATGCTATAATTTGTAATAATTTCAAAAGTATTCCCAACTGAAACCGTCCGCTTTTAACTTACCCGATGTGCAACAATCCCAATAAATAGCTACGTATAAATATGATGTTCGAATCTCGTACAATTTGTACAAATATTTCGTTTGATTCACTTGTGGTGGCATAGCTGAAGATAGACTGAGAATCTTTCGAGACTACTTGGTTCCACGAGCATACTGTAAAGGCTTTCAAGGATTCRAACCAGTTCTCTAAAACAACTTTGTTTTGTAAGTTTGCTTGGGGAAATGTCATAACTTCCTGCCCTCCGTCATCTGTTGAAAGGAAGTAAAAGAACGATGAATAAAAAAGGTTAGAGATTGTTCAGTGATTGTGTTAGTGACAGCGTGGAATACTTTTTTCAACGCTATTCTCATGGAACTCAATGTCTTGTATTCGGACTTCCTGTATTGATCGATTTCACTGGTGGGCTCYCTGTAGCGCCTGGTTATAATCCAAAGTCTTATGGAGTTTGTTGCAATGTACGCGTAAATTAGCCAMATCGGTGTCGCATAAATTACTCACATGCGCATGCAGGTCTTCGTTTACATACACGAAGTAATTTCTGTCCTATTGCTTGCACATTTGATCGAGTATTTGCTGGCATATATTCTGCGCTGCATTCATCTCGCAATTCTGTCMAAAATCGCTAATTTAGTGTTATATTTGTACAGTAGTATATGTACTGAGTAGTATATGGCTGCCCAACCTTACAAGTTTATGGCTGCCCAACCTTAAAACTGATTTGTTAACACTGAACCTTTAYTATCATTTACCTTTGCACGACAGACATGTATAGTCCCGCCCATTGCTGTCAATCAAGCACTTGTCCGTTTTTCGATTGCAGTAGCTGATGCYGCAATTTGAGGGGGAACGAGCATTGTTATTTTCGTAGTCATATCCCTGCGAGAAGATGAAATCTTGTGGGTCCGTCAAATGATTTGCATCGTTGAGCTCACAGATTCTTTTCTCATTGTGGTAATTGATGCTGTAACACTGGTTGTGCAATTTACACTCTTGCATGCAAGCACTTCCGGATGTTGTTGATAGTTTCTTGATTACATGGCCTTGTAATTGGAARCCGCTTTGGAAGTATGAGGATAATGGGCATGTGGCTGTTTCTCCATTAGACAATTGGGGCAATAGGATAAATACGAACACCTGAAGGGATGCTTGTACTATTCCAACCTTATTTACTAAGTAAAATAAATTGCTATTAGACTCGGCTTTTAGTAAAAGCGTGAAATCTCCAGTTTCGAATTCATAGCGAATAACCGCTGCTTTATTTGACAACAGATTCTCTTGCGCAAAGACCTTACAAACACAACAGAGAACACGAGAAAATGTCGTTATTACAATAGAATTGAAAATTTGCGTTTTCCCCGAGTTKAGATTAACCCTGTATTCCCATAAGACCGGAGTAAGGTATGAGCAGGGTTAGCCTCAACTCGGGGAAAATGTAGATTCTTAGCGCTATTGTATTAACAACATTTTCTCGTGCTTTCTTTTGTCTTTGGTAAGTTCTTTGCGTAATAGAAKCTKCTGTCAAGTAAAWCAKYGGTTATTCGCTTTGAATTCGAAACTGGAGTATAGATTAGACACTTATTTAAAGAGGGAAACACTAAGTGTCAATACGAGGACATACATCGAAAAACCCTGTGCACTTTTTGTTTTGCCACATTTTAAGTCTAAAAATGAGCAAAAATCATTYTTTTCTTTCAACTGAGCGCGCGCACGAAACGTGATGTTGTCAGCGCAGTGTACATGTCTTCTTATTGWCACACTCTAATCAGCCAATCAGCGCGCGAGAATTTACACAAGTTTGRTRAAATACTTATATGAGCGTCTATTGAAATCATGGTCCAAAAATCTGTGTGCTCTTTCYCAAATGACGATCATTAAGCTTACTTTTCATACTTGGCTATATTTCAACTGTAAGTGGCTTTCAGTCTGATTGACATACATTAGAGAAAAACGAAAAGTGCAGGTTAACTTGGCAATTCCTGAAAACAGGATGTCACCATTACACTGCACCTCTAATATTGTCATCTCAGAATACTTATTGAAGGCTTTTAATATGGTTGACACTAGTTAGCATACTATCCTGAAATGACCTGGACAAATAGAGGATATTACATGGGCGCGTGGAGATACCAATTTTATCTTCGAGTGTTCAACTGATATCGAACGAGTGAGCGTGTAGCAAACGAGTGAGATATCAATTGAACACGAGAAGATAACTTTCGTATCTCCAAGCGCCCATGTAATATTATGTTTATTATATTTAAGAAATATAAAACGGCGCGCGTGTCTCTGTCCTCTGATATAAACACGGTGGGAGTTCGAAAAACACGAGAGAAGCAAGAACATTTTGCCGGTAAGCCGTGTCTCTGTCCTCTGATATAAACACGGTCCTCAGCCAATCAGAGCGCGCGTTATATATCAAAAATTTTATAAAAATTATTATTAACACAAATATGGAGTAAAAGTTTAAATATACCTTTATTTAATAGTAACGTGTTAGCTTCACATGTTATTTTCACGTGTGAA